CCCCAAAACCCCAAAACCCCAAAACCCCAAAACCCCAAAACCCCATGACAGTATCCAAATATTGAGTTACCCAATAAAATCTACAAAAGGCCCCAAAATACGTTAAAATCCTCTCTAAGACCATAATCTGCCTACACATACTTCCCTAAAACCTACGAACCTCCGAATCCTTATATTCCCCAGGACTCACCTCTTTCAGCCCAGCTACTTTCTTCTCTAGAGCTAAAATACACTCTATATACACCATTCCTCATATATTTCTTAATAAGCACAGAGCAAGTACTTCTCCAGCCTCTGAGTCACTAATATGGCGATAAAAGTGGCTAAAATACCTCTCTTACTGCTAAATTTCCCAGCATGGAGACATACAGGCATTAGGCTGATTAAGAACCTCAGGAATTAGGTTTACTTGGAGTCCTCAGGTAAATGGAAATATGGAAGTAACCAGGCGAGATATCTAAGTGCACCAATACATATTGGATGCAGACGGGTGGATAGCTTGTGGATAAGGTTACCATTCCTGCGAGAGTTCGACCCCTTGCTGAAGGCAGGAACAGCATTCGGTGTAGCTACATTCTCGTTATGATAAGATGCAGTTTCAGATTTGGACTTTGAAAACATATTAAAATAACTTATTATGAATAAAGGGAAATAAGAAGTTCTCCAAACGGGAATTTGCTAAAATTTGAGCTAGAGCTCTCTGAATTTTTTATAGCATTCCCAATGAGTCCTTTGCCGAAATAAAAATTATTCCCAAAGCGAAGGAGTTCACAGCGATGGATAAACTTCGGGAGGCATAGAAATAGCTAAATCGTCCTATTTTGCATAGAAAAAATTTATGATTAAGCTAAAATTTTCTGAAAATTTGATAAGCCAAGGCTTAGTCCTATTTCTTATAATACTAGCAAGACACAAGTTTGAATTTACTATTTTCCTAATTTGGCTGCTAGAAGTGAATGAATCGTTCCAAACGAAGCCTCAGAGCTCCAAACCTGGCCCCTTCCAAAAAAGTAGGCTATGAAAAACAGATTTTTAAACCTCCAGAATTCCTAAAACTTTTACAGGAAATTAGATAAAAACTATCAAATATGGTTGGAACTATAAAAGCGGTGAAATGATTGTAGAAATGGCAGCTAAAATCTGGATGCTTGAAATATGCTGAAATTAAGCCACCAAAGCTAACTTTCGTTGTACTCTGTCCCTCCTCTCAATATAGGTTTAATATGATTAATTTGGCATAAAAACTTAAATTTGTGAAGAATTTTTATCTATTTCACCCATATTTTGCTCCATGTAGCAATGAGAGCATGAAGAACCTAGGATAATGTTACTCCTGAAGGGTGATACTTAGCCTCAGACAAGCCCCAACACTTTTAATGAAACATATTATGATGATAAGTTATTTGTATTCTGAAGAATAATGTATCTCCTGAAAAATCCTTTATTTCGTGTTGGGAGAGTCGAAAATGGATCCATCCTCGTTCTTGCTATTTAGAACAGAGACGATCTCACCATCTCTTGTATTATTTGATTTTGATTCGCCTTGTCTTGGACTAGACGAGGGCTCATTACAATTGGCTTTTAGGTTCCTTCTGCCAACCTTCAGTCGCTCTTCTGAGTATTTCTTAGCATAATATTGTATCAGACCTTCATAAATTTCTGATTCATCATCACTAGAGGTGGTATTCTGAAGGTCCTGGCTCTCAACGAAGTCGGAGATTTTGTCTTTCATGAGTCCAAATTCAGTCGTTCAGAATTTAACAAAGTTAAATACCTTTGTCATGCTTTGATCGTACTCTGAAGTCTTTTTCGGCCATCTTGCGTTCACAATTAATTTAGGATACTCTTTATGATTTTGGGTTCTCAAAAGAGCTGGACGAAGCTCCTTTTGGTAATAATGCTCACAGAAGTGAGGGATGACTGGCAAGATTAGCAACAGCTGTACTTCAATGAACCTCATCACCAAGTAATCATTCAATTCTCCTTTCTTCAAAGAGGAATACTCATCTTTGAGCTTCTGCAGGTCGAAAAATGAGAGCTGCAAGGCATCTTTATACTCCATTTTCTCATATTTCTCATAAGTTTCATCGATGATCCTGTTAATTTCGTTATCAAAGAAGTTGTCATACTCATCAAAATTATATCCATAGTTTTCCCAGTCAATTCCTTCCAGGTTGATTTTGGAAATCTCTTCAGAAATCCAGTTTCCTAGCTTGTATTGCATCTCGATACTATCATTAGCTACTTTTTCTCTGAAATTTCCATCTTCAAGAGTATCTCCAGAATCGGCAAGAGCCATTCTGGTTGCTGATGAGGAGTACTTCTTGCAGGCATCGATGACAGTCATGAAATTGCCTGAGCTCTTGGCCATTTGCTCATCGTTAATTAGCATGAATCCATTACAGAACATACTTCTTGGCATCATCTCTTGCTTCTCCCAGATGGCAGCATGAGTGTACAGGATTGTTATAAGGTGATTGGAGATGAGATCTTTTCCTGAACACTTCAGGTCGAGTGGATACCAGTAGTTGAACTCGTTTTTCAACAAGTCAAGCTTTTCCTGAGGGATAGCTCAATCTTTTGGGTATTCAGTATCCAAAAATACATAGCTCCATACATCGTCGTTGAAGTCTTCAGGCTTAGCTCCAAGAGGTCCTGGAGTACTTCCATCCATGACACCTCCTTGCACTAAATGAGCAACTGTGTGATAAGCCATGTGAAGACTTGCATCTGAGATAGGTTCGATGACATATCTCTCATCCCATGGGACCTTAGTTCCTAGTCCGAAAGTTCTGGAGAATCCCCATTTTTCCAGCTTATCAGCAGCATCTTCAAATCATTTTTTAGTGTTATCAGCATAAGCTTCAAAGTTATCCGAGAACACGTGCTCCTTCGTGAAGTTCTTCCAGTCAGGGTGGGAATAATCAAGGAGCCACTGATCAACATTGGCAACGATGCATTCGTCCTTACTCCTTGATACTACCCTTTCTTCAGCTTCAAAATAAGGGAAGCTTCCTTCAATTTGTTGATGGTTCTTAGATGCCTCAGAATGGCTGAGGAATGGCCCACTAGAGAAGCAGCCGTGAGCCATACGCTCCTTGTAATACTCCTTGTCCTTGCAAGACTCCCAGCTGCCTTCAATAACTTCATCTACAGAAGGATTAGGAACATATTAATTTAGGACGATTTGGCAATTTTGAAAATTAATGGACCAACCCATGCACTAAAGCGAGAACGGAAAGATATAGAAGATATAAATTGGATTTTAGGGATTTTAGTTTCCTAATTGCCACTAAGGCTTACCTAAAGCTGCTTGTGATAGCTCCTTCTGACTCGTGCTGTATTGGAATTGAGGGAGCGGGTTTGTCCATGTGAATCCAAGATTCTTCATTGTTCCAATAGTACCTCGGAACTTCTGGTGGGAATCTCCTTCGTTTTGATGGGAAGAGTAGGAAGCTTGTTCATCAAGCTCTACATCGAAAGTGATTCCAGTACCTCTACTCATGTCAATTTCAGAGGAAGCCAAGGTCTTTAGAACTCTATGTTTAGAAGATGAATTGATCAGAGAAGTTCCAACCAGTGAGGATCCTTTTATACTTCCTACTTTCTCATATTTTCCAAACTCCTCAGTGTATCCTTGATAAGCTAGATGCAGCATAGCCCTTTCTGATGTTATATAGAACTGATTTCCTGGCATCTTATACACTCCGTACTCTGCATCAGGGGAAACATAGCAAGCTGAAGCTTCTTGAAACAATTCGTAATTTTCTGTTACTGTCACGAAATAGATGTCCTCCTCACCATACTTTTTGAGATTTTCTGATGAATGAGAGACTTTCAGCTTGATGCCTGTGAATTCCTTTGGGAAAACGCCTTCTCCTTCGGATCTATCATGGTCAGCACATGGTTGGTCATCAACAATTGAGTAGATAGCTGGCCTCTTATCGAAAACAATTTTGTTCTTTCTTTTCAAAAGGTTGTATTGCCAGCGAATAAAAGAGTCATAATATGGATTCTTCGAAGTGGTAATGAAGGCTCTCCTCCAATCAATATTCAAACCAAGGATTTGCATGTCCTCCTTGCCCTTAGGCACAAAGTAGTCAAGCCAATGCTCAGGGTCTTCAAATTTTACGATTTGGTCTTCCTTGATACCCATGCTCTTGAGAATTTCCTTCTGACTTTTTCCAGAAATTTTAGAGTTTCCAGACATTTCCTTTTCTCTTACTAGTCTTTTTGCAGCTGCTGCAATAGGAGTTCCCGTGCAATGAAAAGCGAATGGGAATAGAGATCTCTTCCCCTTCAGTCTTTCGAACCTTGTTGCGAACTCATTCTTAGAAGAAGAGTATGCATGGCCAAGATGCAGCCTGCCATTAGTATAAGGGAACGGAAAAGTGTTGTAAAATTTTCCATTATTTTTCTCTTCAAAACTAAGGTGACTATAATCTTTAGGAGCATCAACATCGTTTATACCCAAGTCATCCCATTTCTTCTGCACAGAGGCTTCAATGCCTCTTAGGAAGTCTCGCTGCTTGGCAAAGTCTTTCGTTGAGAAATCTAGAGGATTAGGTTCTGTTGTACTGAAGACTACTTACAAAATCTTGGATGATTCAGAGAGCTCCCAAACCTCTGGGCTGGTTTCATGCCTAATCTCCAGGTCTTATGTAGCATTTTGTTTTATTTATCTTTATTTTTATTAATACTAAGCTTAGTTCCCAATACATGTATCCTGTGAGGGGTTTTGGGGTTTTGGGGTTTTGGGGTTTTGGGG